GAATTATTATGAAAGCAACTTTTTTTTTCCCTAGAAAATGTGCACTGATCACGCACAACAAAATCTTATAAATCATTATTATGTCTTTCCTCAGAATGGCATATGCACTTTCCTCCTTTGTTTTTCAGAACATGATGCTCCTCCTTTGCATGTCATTGACAGTCTAGTCACATGACTTGTGGGCAGCAAGGGGCATGTATATAATTGTGTGTCTTGCCAAGGGCAAATACACAACACACACATTTAAAAAAAAATAGACACATGGATGTACGCTGAAAGTAAATACACCCTGAAGCTGCTTTCTTTATTATATGTGATATTAAAACCTATAATACCTTATTGTTTCCTCCCAAAATTAAGATAGCACCTGCTCTCCCCTTAGCTGGACCCCTGTGGCATTTTTCTACTGCCTATAATTCTCCCTTATTTCAGACAGCTCTCTTTCTCGCTTTTCTTTTCACTTTTCTCCCCTCCGGCCTCAATGTCTGTCACCTTCCTTAATGAAAAGCCTCAAATAGACATGATAATGGACATGCTATAAAATTTTATAGCTTTTTTTTTTTTGTCTTTTTTTTCCACACAACTTTTCTGAATATGGTTTTATCTCTGCTTAAATGGAGTTTACTTTTAGTTCATGAAATGTCAATCACCTATCTCTTTTATATATTGACACACCAGAGTTTTAAATTGACTAAAAACCACCACTAAAAATCTCCATCAATGTTTTCACCAGTTTCCCATGAAAGATCTTTGTATCTTTCAGACCAGAATACAGAGAACAAGGAGGAGGACTCTGGGATAGCATCACCTCCAGAGATGCCAATTGTTATAGACCACATTGCCCTTAAGGATATTCTTGGGCCGCCAGTATTTGAAATGGAGGTTAGTATCAAATAAATGGCTGAAGGCTCGTGTCTATTCAGGAAATGTTTCTAAAATGCTTAGAAAGCACTTCAAGTCTCTCCACTTTTGTGTATGATCATTATAAGAAATTCAAAAGCATTTTTTGTGTAGAGAATACAGTATTAAGGAGCATAACGGTTTTCAACATTTACAATAATAATAAATGTTTCCTCAGCACCAAATCAGCATATTAGAATGATTTCTGAAGGGTCGTGTGATACTAAAGACAGTAGTAACGGCTGCTAAAAATTTATTTTTAAATATATATTTAAATAGAAAACAGTTATTGTAAATTGTAATAATATTTCAGACTAGCAAATGTTTAGCAAATGCAGCCTTGATGAGAAAAAGAGTCTTCACGTTTTCAAAAATCTCCCCAACCTTTGAATGGTAGTGTATGTCTAGGGACCCGCATATCATAAGGATTTGGGAGTAGGCTCTCGCAACCACCCAGAACATCTTAGCAACGGCATAGCAACAACCAAAACATCCGAGCATCACGACGGCAAGTTTTGAATGAGCAAGCATCACCTACATGTTCTTCAGAAAAGCCTAGTAGTCTGTGTTCTTTTAAATTGAAGTCATTTTAAGTGCGGTCCTGTCATTAATTGTGTGTGGTTCTTCGATTGTCCACAAACCTTTCGGACTGCTAGCCCCCGGCCCTGTGTGTGCTGTGCTGTGCTGTGCTATGCTGTGCTGTTGTGTTTCTCAGAGGAGAAGTGCTCTCTCTTCTCTGTAATGGAGGCTGCATTCCTGCCATACCTATGGGGAAGAGACCAGAGGCAGTCTATCACACATCTTCTTCTTTTGAAAACTTACGTTAGCACTCGACTTTCTGCAGTTAGTTTACCAAGTATACAAACAAACAAAAGGTAACGTTTTTGAAAGAAACATTGGTCACTTTATTTTAAGGTCCAATTCTCGGTATTAACAATTAACTACAACATTTGCCTCAATAAACTCCTAATTTGCTGCTTATTAAGAGCTAGTAAGGTAGTTGTTAAGTTTAAGTATTGGTTAGGATTAGGGATGTAGAATATGGTCATGCTGCAGAATATGTGCTTTATAAACAGCCAATATGATAATAATATGCATGCTAATAAGCAACTAGTTAATAGTGAGAATCGGTCCCTATACTAAAGTGTTACCAAAACGTTTATAAAATCAAGCTTTCTTACTTTTAATGGGGCAAATTCTTAATCGAGATGTGTTGGGAATAAACCATAAGCTTGCTGTGTTTTTAAACATTTATATGTGTAATTTTTTTGACATGTTAAGATAAGTATGTTAAGTATGTAACCAGAGCTGTCTTATGTTTGTAGGTCTCGGAGCGACTGACCCTGCCAGGTGTGGCGATCGGGCTGGCCTGGACTCCGATGGGTGGAGAGATCATGTTTGTGGAGGCCAGTCGTATGGAAGGAGAAGGTCAGCTGACTCTGACGGGACAGCTGGGCGATGTCATGAAGGAATCGGCCCATTTAGCTATCAGCTGGCTCCGCAGCAATGCCAAAACCTACCTCCTTACTAATGGTAAGTTACAGACATACACTACATTAAAATTTGTTTTAACATAAAAAAGTCTTGTGAATATTATTACAATTAACAAAATAACTTTTTTTGTTCAGATGGTGTCAAGCATGTGTGGCGGCAACCAGGTGAGGAGTATTTAGAATTTAATGGCTGTGTGTTGAGTTATTTTGAGGGGACAGCAAATTTGCACTGTTATACAAGCTGTACACTCACTACTTTACATTGTAGCAAAGTGTCATTTCTTCAGTGTTGTCACATGAAAAGATATAATAAAATATTTACAAAAATGTGAGGGGTGTACTCGCTTCTGTGAGATACTGTATTTCTAAATGTCATTTATTCCTGTGATGGCAAAGAATTTTCAACAGCGATTGACTGTGAGCGAGACTGATTTATGTGTTTGAATGATGTTGTTGTAGGCAGCGCTGATCCTCTGGAGGGTACCGATATCCACTTGCACTTCCCAGCAGGTGCCGTTACCAAGGACGGACCCTCCGCCGGTGTTACAATAGTAACATGCCTGGCTTCGCTGTTGAGCGGGCGGCTGGTGCGCTCTGATGTGGCCATGACTGGAGAGATCACTCTGAGAGGACTGGTGTTGCCGGTGAGAAACCCAAAGCACATCCTTCACAGAAACTGAATTTATTTCAAAACCATTCATCATTGGAAGTTGCTGATATCTCACGAGATATATCTTGTCTCTCTACAGGTGGGAGGTATAAAGGATAAAGTCTTGGCAGCTCATCGAGCCAATCTGAAACGAGTTATCGTCCCCAAGCGCAATGAGAAAGATCTGGAGGAGATACCTGCCCATGTGCGAGCTGACCTGGATTTTGTTTTCGCCAGCACTCTGGATGAAGTCCTAAAAGCGGCCTTTGATGGCGGTTTTCCCGCAGCTGTCAGTCATGCACAAGTTGTCAGCAAACTCTGACATTGTAGCTGCTAGACCAGGGGTGCCCAAACTCGGTCCTGGAGGACCGGTGTCCTGCAGAGTTTAGCTCCAACTTGCCTCAACACACCTGCCAAGTTTCTAGCATGCCTAGTAAGAGCTTGATTAGCTGGTTCAGGCGTGTTTAATTGGGGTTGGAGCTAAACTCGTCAGGACACCGGCCCTCCAGGACCGAGTTTGGGCACCCCTGTGCTAGACAAACTCGTGAGCCCGAGACGTTGTTTTTCCTCAAAGGAAGCTAAACTCTAAGCACTTACTCTCACCTTAAGCACTGAATACTAGCAAACCAGCTTTATTCAAGCCGATATTAATTTTCCTCTAATTCGTTTATGATTTAATTACAGATGATTGTTGTTGACATATTGTAAGAGTATAGTTTTGCTCCTGTAGAACTGACAGCAAAAGTTTCTGACAATTTTTCAGATGTTGATACTGTAGATAATTATACAAATATACTTTGTTTTTTTTTTGGGAAAATTGTGATTTAACCAAGAGTGTTTTTCATTAAATGAATTAGACTAATGAAAGTCAAAATTCTTAAATATAAAACTGGAAAATTTAAATATGTTGACAACTATGTACAATTTAAAGGAATAAATTTGGATATGTCAAACGAATGGAGGTTAGCGTTAAATAACTGCCAGAAAAGTCATTGTCACTACAGGAAATGTTTCTAGAATCGGTAGCACCTACAAGCCTCATTCTTCAAAGCTGACATTTGACCCACTTTAATGCGTTCTTGTTCTTGATGAACTGTAATACCTGGATGACAGCTCTGGCCTGAATATGCAAGGCGTGTTTGGAAATGTTGTAAGATGTAGATTAGCCACTTTCACTTCAGTCTGTCAGTTCCACATGAAGGGTAGAGATACCCTTCATGAAGAGCTCATTTCCACACACTTTGGTCCTGGAAAACAGCCTATTTAAAGCTAAAGTTTGTAGAGACCGCTATAGGCTATATATAGATTGAGCTCCAAGAAAAGTATAAATGCTGGCGCTACTTATTTGAGCATCCTAACCAACAACATTTATTGACTCTACCAATATTGTGAGATTGGGGTTGAACTACATTTGTCCAACCAGTGGAAGATTGGGAAATCGCATTTTGTAGATGAAAAATGAAACGAAAAATCATTTTGTAGTTCCATTAGGCAATGTTAGCGACACATTTTAGCTTAAACGTTGTGAAAATCCTGTCAAGGATGTTCGTCATGAGGAAAATACATATTAATTCTGATCTTATAAGAGGAAACAGCAAAACAATAACCACTTTGCCAGCAGTCTTGGTTCTGAATATGTCCTATTCATTCGTTTTCTTCAATAGGATGACAACATTCCTAAAAAGTCATGAAATTAAAAACATGCTTAACATATTAAGAAAAAATGAATGTTGCACACAATGCAATTTAATGTCAGTTGTAAAGTAATATTATAGTTTTAGGTTTACATGTTGTTAAAAAGCAAGTTCCACATTATCAGACAAACTAACGAGGACAATGCAAAGTAACAACTAGTTGGTAGAGTCATTCTCACTGATGAGGTGGAGCGGGAACCACATGAAGCCAGCATCACCATCAGCTGTAATTTAGAATGAGCAGTGAGAAAAATTCACAGAGAGTATGAAAAAGATAGATTTATTTACTGGCAAAATAGAACAAAACAAACAATAAAACAAATAAAATTAGAGATCAGGACTAGCAACAGTACAATGTATCCACAGAGATGTTTGGCTTTGCTTCACCCTATCCTTGCAAAAAAACTGAAATACAGACATACAAAGAACAACAGCAACAAAAATATCGACTTACAAAAAGAGAAAAGACACTGATGTCTTCTGAAGAACAACACTATCTACAAACACTGAAGATTAGCCACAAGTTTACAACAGCCTTTTTCATTCCATTTTCTTATGTCATTACAAAATGATAATTATGACAATAACCTCATTATAATAACTGTATTAATTGCCCCGGTTCCTAGCCTGATATTCAATGCAGTGTTGACTCCAGTGTTTGTAATTGAGGGCTTCCAGGTTAGGAAACAAAACTTATGATCTCACACATACTGTACAACTTGTATCTATCTTTTAAGTGTACTTGATATAAAAAACAAAGTAGTGTGGCTTTTATAACCCGGCTTGATGTGCGTGTGCCAAGCCATCCCTTCAAAAACAAACAGGAGAAACACTGCAGCGACAGGCAGAAACAAACAAGACTTCTAAAATGAAATCTGGACTTGTTATAACTTATCCAGTGGTCATGCACCAATTACCAGAACCTTTCTGTATCATACTCAAGGTAGGAAAAATTAAAGGGAACAAAAAAAGGGTAGGGTGGGGGGCAAGATTAGAATAAAACAAAACCTAATATTTGAACATAAAAGTTAGTGTTTTATCTGAATTGAAATACAAAACGTCTTGGGAAACAACAACAGAACGAACAAAAACTTGCTCTAAGGGTTGCGCATTGTGAGCAAACCCACCCCAGAATTGATCAATATTCCCAACCGCCATCCAGCTCAGCGTGCCGTTCCTCAAACCCTCGTTCCAAATGCCACATTTGCAAATGTCCATCCCACAAACGTGGCTTTCCGACACCTTCAAGGGCAATGAATGTTGCTCTCGAAAATGTAGAATACATTAATTATTTAACTTATATAATATTGTAGCATAAAATTGAAAACCCAGGAGTTCTGGATTGGCGTGCCAAGCTCCAACCAATAACAGTTTTTTTTTTGATGACTACTCGGAACGAACAACAGCAAAAAGTTCCTTAGGTTAGCTACTCCCCCGTCCCCCAAGCACAACTCAAGGTATCCTGCGGTGTATTGAAATGTCTGGTTTCATGTTTGTATGTGTGTGTATGCGTTCAAGTATGCACGGCTGTTAGTCCTCAGCACATGGATATGGTGACGTTGATGCCCAGGTTGCCGTTCTCTGCAAACAGCTGAGCAATGGAGGTGTCAAACACAAGGCAGTCACTGTTCATGATGGCGGTGGCGATGCCCTCATGAATTGAACGTGGCGTCGCTTCCCAGGTGAGTCGCCGCCGGTGGCCGTTCAACTCCAGCCGGTAGGCGAAGTTTTCCGCCTGTTTCCGTGTGCCGATCAGCTGCACGATGGCAAAGAACTGCTGGTGGCCGTCATATTTCTCCTGCTTCTCCAGCACGAGCATAAAATGGAAGCCGAAGCATGACTGCATCATGACCCAGTCCACCGCCCCAGGCAAGTTGATGTCTGTGGCCAGGAAGACAATATCCTCACCTTGTAGCGTGGTTATGGACTTGTGCTGGTGCAGCAAGTGGGGCATGACGGCGTCGAGAGATCCCTGCCACTTGCAGGAGGCGCCAGGACAGGGGCAAGAGTATGGCCGGAATTCACAAAGCTCCTCGTGTTCAGCCTTGTCTGTGTGCGGTAGGGTGACTTCGCAGCCCGATGAGGCATACTTGCATGGGAAAAGCACTGAGTTGGCCACTTTCTCCATGGCCAAATTGCGGATTGAACCAAGAGGGCCTCTGCAGGTGGGGCAGCAGGTGAGTTTGGGCCGGCAGTTGCTACAAACCAAATGGCCGCTCTGGCACTGCAGGATGGGCGGCAGCACATAGTCAAAACAGACCGGGCACTCGAACAGGCTGGCGAGGTCACTGTTGGATGCGGTGGTGCCCGACAAGGTAGGGACGCGCTGAGAAGGGGGACACTTCGAGGTTCCTGTGGGCAGCGCTGTGGCAGTCTGGCGACTCATTTCTGAACAACAGAGGGAGACAGAGAAGAGAGTTAGCATGGCTAACACAGACAGCCAGAAGGAAATGGAGGTACATGCATTTACACCAAATCCAACCGCAGCTGAACTCCATTATGCATGACAACAGAGATCAGCTGGCATCTAATGCACTGACCTGAGCACCTCTGCATCCTGAACATAAAGCAGTAGACATTTCAATGTAGCCTCGGGGTAAAAGGTACACGTTTCTGCTGATTCAACCACTATAAACTCCAAATAAAGCTATGAAAGAGTCTCAGCAGCGCTGAGGCCTGTTCTTCCTGAGTGGCTCATAGATATAGCCGTCTAGTGCCACCGATAAGTCAGACGTGGGCCTCTGGGGAAGGCTTGGGGCAGCTATTTCTGGCACGACTAAAATGCACAGATCTTCACGCTTCATTTATTTATTTTTTTAAGCCAGACATGGAGAGTGGACTCAGAAGTAGGGCTGTCACGATTATGACCTTTGGCTTACGATTAATTGTCTAAAAATAGTCACGGTTATTGCGATTAATTGTCTGTTTTAGGGCTTTGGCAATTATGACGATTGTATGTTTTTTATGGCTTTCATTATATAATTGTGATTAATTTAAAGGTTCAGTAAATAATTATGATGTTATCTTTTAATCTTTTTGAGTTATTATTTTGCAGTGTAAGATTACATAGAGAATTCCAAATTCTAAGAATCGGACAATACCGATCCAACACCAGCGCTTTTTTTTTTCTACACCACTACAGAATATCAATACTGTGTTTGTGGAACTAATAGTCACCTCAGTCTACTCATCACCTTAACTTTAACTGCGTTTGTAGCCGGTGCCATAGCCAGACTGATAAACAAACACAGATCGTAAGTTAACTTCGGGCCAGGCGCGTGCGCCCATTGAAACCGTCTATATAAAGCTTGAAGCATCAGAATCGGCATCGGTATCGGCCGATCACCATGACAAGAAATCGGTACTCCATATCGGCTGCAAAAATCCTGATCGGAGCATCCCTAATAGGAAGCACAAAAGCAACTATAAATTAGCACTGGGGAGCAAATAAAAAAAGACTGATACAGAACCGGCTTTACTGATAAGATGCGCGTTAAATATCGCATGCGATTAATCGTGCAGCCCTATTGCAGATTTAACATGGACATCAATTAAGAGACTACAGAACAAAGGAGCAGCATGGCAGGATCAGAGCTAATGGTCGACCGATATTGTTTTTTTGACAGCTGATGCCGATGCTGATATCTTGGAAAGCAGGGTGGCCGATATAAAGCTGATATAATTTTATTTATTTTAATTTATATTTAAGAAATTTGAAATCATTTGAAAATGGATTAAAAATAATTACACTTTAGAAGACAAAGCATTTTTTACAAATAAATAAATATTTAATAAAAATCTAATTAATAAGGAAGTAAACACTGTAACCAACAAGGCACTCAGTATTCTGGGAAGTTTGTGTGCATTGGGAATCA